ACAGAATTTGTATTTCTTACAGTCTAAGATAGCATTTAAAACAGCATGTATAGCTAATAATTGGCTAAATAAACAACCGGGGGGACCCTCCTTCAAAACTGGCAGAAGGGTCCCCCCATCCCCCCTTTTCCAAAATTAAAAACCCTACACAAATCTACATAGTGTATGGAAACAAATGTTCAGGCACTTATTGTTTACATTATTTAACATACTTCCAGTGCATACATTTACTTTAAACTTACACATGTAATATTTTTTGACTTTCATTTTATAAATATGAACAGAAAAAAGTATTAACAGGATGTTAAAAAAATTATAGGGAAAGATTCATTCAGGCACTATATTAGAATAAACATATCGCTGTTGTCGGAAGAAAATCTCGTATCTCCAAAATGGCATCTTTACAGGAAAAGGAAACAGCATACCTTACTTTTAATGTAAGACAATGGAACCAGGATTTTTTCCAAGTCCAATTTCGGGTCATTTCTTTTGGTCCATTCATCATGTAGAGGGTAACAGGTATTTTCAAATTATGTCAAAAACTGAAAAATGTCAAAAACAGAGATATAAGGTTTTCTTCCAACAACAGCGATAAAAAAAGTATATATATTGGTTAAAAAAAATATTATCATTACAAAAGTCATTGGCATTGGTTAGTTAGATTTCATATGACAAATATGAGTCATTGTGAAAATGGAGCTTTCTAAAGTTCTCAGAGACATTATTAAAAGTTTCAGAGCCTTAGAAAAGCCCTTCAACATTTTGTTGTGTTAGTGCAATTGGTTTTAATTATATGTAATTAGAAAGGTCACAGAACCACAATTGTCTGACTTATGATCAAGAGTTTTTGTTTAAACGGGGGGGCTGAAAACTGATTTTCTTTACTAGGCTGGTCAGCTAGCCAACAGGCTAAAAGATAGCAAACATGCTAAACAACTCCAACATTCATATCACATGCTTGAAATAAAGAACTCACAATGTGATTCACTGTAAAACAGCATCAAACCCAGGCTGAATCCCAAACGACTCCATACTCCCTAAATAGTCTGCTGTGCAACATTAAGTTTAGAAATTCTAGCTTCTGCTGTTAAATAGTGCACTGCTTGTCGAGTATGAATGTGGATGAATCCCAAATTACTATTTTTAGCGATATTTTGCATTGTTGGGGTGCAAGTGTCCGTATTTAAATTCCTACATAGTGCACTATGTAGGGAGCAGGGAGCCGTTTGAGATTCAGCCCCAGCGTGAGAAAAGTGGCCTCGTCAGACTGGCAGAAGACTCTCTGTGGTAATTCGCTGACCAAAAACATGGACATTTTTGCATTAAACAGTACTACAGTGCTAGTGTTGCATATGTTCACTGTTATATGAAAACAAGTTTTTAAAAATCATGAAATGTCTGCAGTTTACAGTGATTGGCAACCGAACTTTCTTCTTCTCATTCAGTAGTCAATAGTTGCTTAGCAATGATGCCATACTCTAAGGGAACTACATTTCTTGGCGGATTACTTGTTTATGTTGATTATTATTAATAATAACTTAAATAATTATCTAAAACTTTGTGTATTTTAATATATTTTATGTTGGCCGCCATTTTATAAAAACAATAAACCTTTCACATCAGTGAGTTACTGCGATTTTATCATGGGGAAGGGGGTTTTAGGCACTCCACTTCATGTTGAAGGACATCCTTCCCCATAAACAAATTGCAGTAACCCATGGCCTCTCGTGTTTTATTGCTTTATTGTACTCCACTCAGACAAAATAAAAACAGAAATCATTGGCCATAATCCAATTCATCATGTCGGGTCATGTGCCTGATCTCAAGGACACCTACAGTGAAGTATGAAGGTGGGAGCATCATGATATGATACTGCAAACAGTACTTAGGCATTACATATTATTAAAGGAAGCATGAATGAAACAATGTACTGGAAGATATTTGAGGATAAGTTCATCTCATCAGCCAAGAAAGCGGAGAAAGATCTTCAGTCACCAAACGTTCTTAAGAAGAAATTACGGTAACACTTTCTATAATGTCACCTTTGTAAGCATCTATAAACACATTCATAACATGTTATAATGCATTCATAAGGCATTATACACATGGATATAAATATTTATAAAAATGCATTACATGTTATAGCCATGCTTATTATGCATTATGAATTATTAACAAGATACATTATAAGTACTGATCATAACAAATTATAAGAGCTCATAAGTCGTATTTGTCCACTCTAAGTAAAGTGAAGCGTACTGTACTAAAGCCTCCTCCAGTGTTAAGAGGGAGGCTACAAGTTGGAGTATTTACTGAAGGATTTACTGAAACACTAAAACATACACAGTAAAGCACATTACAGGCTTCAAATGTCAGAGTTTAAACTAGTGCTGCCATCAGTGTTTTACCCAATGTGGGAAAGGTAATGTACACCACCGTTAGCTTGGTATTTGTCTTTACTTTGCAGTCTCCAAGCTGAGACTGACTTCTTTGGCACTGACATTATAACATGTTATTAACACTATTTATAATGCATTATATTAACAGTTCATAATGTATAATAAACATGGCTATAAAGTGTGATCCAGTGTAATTCATTTTTATGAATGTTTATAATCATGTTTATAATGCCATATGAAGGCATTATAACATGTTATAAATGTGTTTATAGATGCATACAAACGTGACATTCATAGAAAGTGTTACCGAAATTACTTCTTAAAAAAAAAACATATATAGGGGTTTTACAAAGATTCTGACTTTCACCAGTGTTTTCTTATTTGAGATTTGTTCTTATAGGTTACATCAGAATCTACACAAACTCAAGAGCAGAAAAGTCTGAACAGTTCTACGGTTTAAGAAAATGTCATTAATGTAATGTAGACTTTTTCATAGGTCCTTTCTGAAGATGAGGCCTAATGACCCCAACCATACAGCCAAAATGACGTAGGGCTGGTTTATAAAGAAGGTGGAGGTGCCAATTTCCTGACATGAATCCCCTTAAAGATTTATGGATGATTTTGACACTGTGAGTCCATCAGAGGGACCATTGTAACCTTGGGGAGCTGAAGACTGTTTACCAAGATGTTGAACCATAATGCTGCGAAAAGCTAACCAGTTCTCACCATAGATTTATCAAAGATGCAATTTCCATTAACGGATATGCAACGAAGTACTATAGTTATTAATTTATGGTTTCTGAATGCATCATTTTAGATGTTTAAACATATCTTTGTTCATATTTATAGCCAGAAGACATTAAGTGGGTTCATTGTATGTAGACAGATGCAGTAGAAGTATATTAAGTTACACAACCAAAAGTATCTGGATATTGTTTCACAGACGATGACTTTACAGTGTGTTTGACTGACCACTAGATTATTATTGACCGCATTTCCAACTTTGGACGTAAAGCTGATTGTGGGTGGGAGTGATGATGACCAATATGCAGTAGTCGTGGTTTGCAATGTCATTAAAGTGCGCTGTGTGTGGCCAACGATTGCTCTGTCTAACTGGATCCTGGGGTTTCTGAAAAGAAGTAAACAGTAGGGAGTAAAAAGTAAAATGTTTTCTATACATCGAACTCAAGCACAAAGTCTCACTTTTAGAAAATGCATCCAAAAGTGTAGCTCATTAAAAAAAGTAAGCTTTGCTCCTAAAGAATTTTATTATTTTCCTCCAGCACTGAATGCAATTCATGAGATGCTTGTGAAGTTACTCTATAAATTGGCTTGTATAATTTTATTTATGCATGCAAATGTATGTATGAATGAAACCCAATTTAGGTGCAGTGGCCTCGTTCGAGCCCAAGTGTGCTGTATTAAACTAAGACAATCCTATTTGCTTGTCTTATCACATTTTCTACTTTACATCTAATTTTAATTCCCTTCTTATCACCCCAATGTCACCCAATCAGGGTGGTGACGCTCTGACATGCGGCTCAACGGCTTTAAAATTGCTCCGAGATATAAAGCAGAGCATGCATATTCAAGAGCTTTGCAGGCTGCTGTAATGGGACTGTAACCTCCGGGTGTCCCAGTCAAGCAGTGTGTTTGGTGTATTTATCCCGAGATTAATCAACTGGCACCTTTTCCTAACAGCAATCTCAGACCTCATGTTCAGAGGGAGGACCTTAACCTAAAGAGCACAACATTAGCACAGAGTAACTTGTTAACATCTGGCCTGCAGTCCACGCCTTAATTTCCCCCATCAATCTTCCATTAAACTGGAAGTGGAAGTGCTCCAATTACAAAATATTAAACATACCAGAGGCCATTGTCCCTAATGAGACTAACTCTGACTCACATAACAAGAACATGAACAAGAGCAGCAATGATGATGATGATGATGATGATGATAATAACAAGGATGATGATGATGATGATGATGATGATGATGCTTATGTTGTTGTTGTCATATGCTAAAGTAAAACAACTGAAAATAAGGTGAATTTCTAAGCAATCTAAGCAAAAACAACAACAATAATAATAATAATAATAACACTTTATAAATGTTGTGTTCATAATAACTAAATTAATGAAAACATGATCATAATGGCAATAGTAATAAACAACTATAAATAATAAATAATATTGATTATATCATGACAAGTATTATAATAGCTATTATTATAATGATTATATTTTATTTCATGTATTATCATAATAATTATGTATCAATAAGAATTGGAAAATAAGAATTATCTTGATTAAAATAATGATGAGAATAATTATAACAATAACTTTTAACACATTATTTTTATTTGGCACCTTTTTTTTTTGTAATTATTAAGTTAATTTTTTTATTACTTTTCCAGTTCCTGGAATTTGGGATTTTGCTTTCGATGATACACTAATATACATCAGAATAATATATCTGGTATTTGGTGACATTTCATATTTCTAACCTCTTCGCCAACATATGACAAGCAGTTTCCTGGTAAAATATGTATGATTAACCGTTTGACCTCATCACTAAAGTGCTGTCTCCTTTACTTATAGGTACCTTTGTGATAGAAGTCAATGCAACAGATGCAGACGACGCCTCATATGGTAACAGCGCTAAACTGGTGTACAGCATCCTGCAAGGTCAGCCATACTTCTCCGTGGAACCTGAGACAGGTGAGTGCTCTAAGCATATGGTCAAAGCCTGACATACTCTAATGTCATGAATGATATCGCTGATGTCAGAAGAAATGGTAACTTTACAGCAGAAGGAAAGAACCTACTTTGCTTTTAATGTAAGTCAATGGAACCAGAATTTTTTTCAAGTCATTTTGGGCCGTTTCTTTCGGTCCATTCTTCATGACGTTTACACACAATTTCAATGTAAAGAACAACAAGTATTTTCAAATTATGTCAAAAACTGAAAAACGATACAAGGATTTCTTCCGACAGCAGCGATATGTTTACAAGGCTGTAACGTTTCAAGGAGATATAATAGGCTTCCATGGCCATGATTATAAAAGATACTTGTAGCATGCAGTGGAATCATGAGTATGCACTGAATCTCATCATATCAATAACATTTCTGAAGAGCCACACTTGACGAGGGAATAGAGCAAATGGACTTTTATGTTAACAGAGACGTGCTAAACTATGTATGCAATAGAATCATGAGCATGCACTGTATACCGTCTTATTAATACCATTCTGTGTACCACACTTAATCCTGTAAAAAGAGTTAATGGACTTAAATGTTAAGAGACCCACTAAACGAGGTATAAATCTATCATCTTTATTTATACTGCAGTAAATGCATACATGCAGAGCATTCAGAGCCATCTGAATGTACAAACATGTGGTGATATAACCTGGTCCTGGTTCTCTCGAACAGGAATCGTGAGGATAGCGCTGTCCAACATGGACCGCGAGGTGCGGAAGGACTACCAGGTGGTTATCCAGGCCAAGGACATGGCAGGGCAGATGGGGGGTCTCTCTGGAACAACCATGGTCAATGTCACCCTCACAGATGTTAATGACAGCCCCCCACGCTTCGCCTACAGTAAGAGATGAGCGTATCGCATTTCACGAGCTTAGCACTGGAGCTACAAGGCTAATATAGCTAGCAAGTAATGGAAGCAATTAGCGAGTGTCGACTGTACCGAAATCATCAAACACTCTTAAAAAAGATGATTCTTCAAGGGTTTAGAACCCATTTCATGCTTGAATGATTCTTTCCATGGAGAAATCGTTCTTCAAATGGATGTAGAATGTGTATATGGTTCTATGTAGCACCAAAAAGGGTTCTTCTGTTGTTACATGCTTGACAGAACTCTTTTATGTGCTACATTAAAAGATTTCCAAAAAGGGTCTATATAGAACTATATACAACATGTTCTCCATCAATGTGGTGAACATTCTACCATGCAAAAAAAAAAAAATTAAGCATGAAATGCTTTAATATGGAATTCATGGTTCTAAGTAGAGCAATCGTCTGAAGTTCATAAGTGCCCTTGAAGAACTGTGTGTTTAAGAGTTTCTATGCATGTTAAAACATGTTAAATTGTTAGGGAATCTTAGACAGTCCTGCTTATGTGGTTTTTGATACCATATGACATACTGCTATCTATAAAAATAGACAAACGCTAACAAAATTCAAGCCTCTGTAATGTTCTAACTATGCAAAATATTTTTTCTCCATTTTTATACACAACACTACGCCATCCAGTGTTAGAAACCACATGAGCTGTTGACACAATTTGAGAAGCATGTGTTAATTTAGGCATGTAATTTGCATGATACAGCACTGGTGGGCCATGGTGTGTTAGCTACATTAGTCTTATAGCTTCAGGGCAAACACCAAACATATCTTGGTTTATCAATTAAAGTACTGTGCAAAGGTCAGAGACCAACCTTCAGTTATATAATTACCAGTCTAAACAGCCATTAGGTACAAGCTAGTCTGGACTGGAACAAGGTTTCATGGACTGATTTTGCAATTGGAATTTCTTAGATTGAGCGAAGTAGAAAATGTGACCAACTCCTAAGACTGAACTTGGGAGATGTAGGAAAACATCTCTGCAGATTTCTTAGCGAATCTGCCTAGAATGGAAGCTGTAATGAAACTAAAGTGGACACACTAACCACTGAAAAAGTTGATATTATATTTAGTTGTTGAGGCTTTTGTGTAGTTAGTTAAATATATGCTTTTTTTTTATTATTCCTGATGCTGAAGAATGAATAGCTTGTACTGAAGGACCACTTCGACTGGAAATTAAATGAATCAAGGTGTGGTCTCTGATTCATTTGGGGTATGATGGTGAAAACTGGATTGAATCTAGAATTATAACATTACATACATTCAATAGGATGGAAAAATGTGTAGTTGTGCAGTGAACTAATCAGAACCTCTCACCTTAAAGGCTCGTACCATTTGAGCACTTATGAGTCGGCGGAGATCGGCTTCACAGTGGGTCGAATCAAAGCCAATGACGGAGATGAGGGAGAGAACGCGGAGATGAAGTACAGGATTGTGGAGGGAGATGGGAAAGACTCATTGGATATCATTACTGATGAAGTAACACAAGAAGGCATTATAGTTGTGAGAAAGGTAATAAACACTGGCATATTTTTATCATTATAATGTGAATGTTATGATTAATGACCCTATGGTCTAAGGACTACTTTATACAGTATGTCGTAAGATATTACACTGCACACTGGATGCACTGTGTTGTGCTGTGCTGCATTGTATCACATAGTAAAAGGCAGTACATTGCACTGCTATGTGACATAGAATGCGTCACATTAATGCCAAAGTTCAAATTTAATTTAAAGAAATTAAACTTTAACATAAATTGTGAATGTAGGACGTTTGGTTTCAGCTGTCTAACTCTTCACAAACTCGTGAAAGTTAGACTACATCAGGGGTCAGCAACATGTTACTCCTGAGCCACATGCAACTCTTTTACTGCCCTCTTGCGGCTCCACAGCAAAATTAGACTTTCACATAAAAATAAAATAACCCTTCTTTGCAGTACCGTCAAGCTTTGCTGAGCCTTCAAACACACAGTTTCAACAATAAATGATCTTAAACGATGGAGTTAATTCATAATTGGTCTTAAGTGCTACTAATTCACCCTTTACACCTGAAGATTGGTGCGCAGACTGGTGGTCACACAGCAAAATGCAGGCACCAATCTCCCCTAGCTAGCTAACAAAAGGGCAAAGAAGAGAAAGATTTAAGATGAACCTCAATAATTTGGAAGACGAATGGACTTGCATTTATAATCACTCCAACAATATGTTTAATCTGCCATGAGAAACTGTAGAAAAAGAATGAGAAGCTGACTTCAGCTGATAAAAAACCTGAACATAAAAGATATTTTACAAGAAACTAGTCCACTTTTGTGGAAAAGTATCCTGCTGGAGATGTGAGAAAAGTGGCTACAGCTGAGCTAAAGCTTGAATCAGAGCAAAGTTAGTCTGTGTTTTTGTTTATATTAGATTTTTAGCCTATACTTGGTGGACACTAGCATACCCTGAAACATATTTACAGCCAAGATGGTAAATGTTACTTCAATAAAATGGACATAAAATGTTGCGCTTCCCAAGGTGGATTGATTTTTGTTGAAAGGACAAAATGGCTCTTCTTAACATTTGGGTTGCTGACCCCTGGACTAGACTTAGTAAGGTTAGCAGAGGTAATATACCATTAGCATTTGTCTGTTTATCTAAAATATATTACTGTCTTTCTCTGAGTGAATTTCAAATCAAATATCATCTACAGCAGCTTTCTGTGATGTTGATAGGGCTTTGATCTAAAGTAGGGATGGCAAAATACTGAGCGATGCGCTGAGAATTTGAACAGTACTTGGAGTTGGCTGGCTGAGTGGAACTCAACTCAGAACTGGCGGTTCTCCAAGCATTTTAAGCTGTAAAATGATGTTGTGTTATTGGCAATTTGGAGCTTCACAACTAATTTGGAGAGGTGTTGGGAAAGATACACACATAAAACTGGTATTGTTTCATTTGGTTAATCTTTGTATTGAATAATAAATGTGACTCATTTATTGTTGTTCCAAGTGGGACACTATATAAACAGTATCCTATATCAGACAAATGTTATTAGCTGCTCCTTCATTCAATTTTAACCTGTTGCTAATGGAGCATGGACTCAAAATGCTTAAGCAGGAATGAAAAATGCTTTTGCTATTCAGAACAAATCAAAAAAGTGATCATCTCAATGTCAAGTATAATAAAATGTTTATTACATCAGATGAAGTTTCATACTTAAACTTCCTTATGTAGTACAAATGTAGTGTAGACTCCACTGATTAGTAATACAATGCAACCCACATGTTTCTTTCATGTGTCACTTTTCTTTTTAAAGCAACTTGATTATGAAAGCAGGAGAGTGTACACCATCAAAGTGGAAGTGACCAACACACACACTGACCCCAACTTCCTCCACCTGGGTCCATTCTCGGACACGGCCACTGTCAAAGTCACAGCTAAAGACGTGGATGAGCCACCCGTCTTCAGCAGACCACAGTTTGTCATTGAGGTCAATGAGGACACACAGAGGGGAAGCATTATAGGAACGGTCACAGCCTGGGACCCTGATGCTACAGATTATCCTGTCCAGTAAGAGAATGTTTTTTTATTTTATTTATTTTAGCGCTGTCACTATTGATTATATGAGTAATCAAGTAATCTTTTTTTTGGTAATACAAATCGACTTCACTGAACACTAACATGACATGCAGAGCCTTTCACTGGAAAGTAGATACAGAAACTTGATACAGCCACACAGTGCTAGTTTTTTACTATAGGAACTTCAGTGTTCTGTTCACGATAATCTAGTGATGGGGTTCATTTTCCACATGGGGTGTAGTACTACATGTGCCAGATCTACTTAAAATGGACATTTTAAGCTTTTTTACCTATATTCAAGTGGCACATTCTTCACTTTGTATGTATGCTATACATTACATCCTTCAGTAAAGCCTAACTGGATGTTATAGGTGGAGCCCTTTCAGCCTGTCAGGTGTCTACTGAGCTCCTAAGCCTAGAGCTTGTTAATCAACACTTTTAACTTAAACATCAAACATTTAATTTTGCTTCATGTATTATAATTTTTTTGACTACTAACATACAAGCATTAGAGAAACCCTGCTGGTGTGGGTTTCCTCTTTTTACAGTGACCTGAGTGCTAATAGCTCCACCTTGTGGAGAATCTTCAGCCTGCCAAACATGGCTTATGATAACCTTTGGATGTCATTTAATTTACAAATAATGACTAACATGATTTGATCAAGAATGAAAAATGTTAGTGTACTATTTTTACAACACAATCAAATTTAATAAAGCAATTGTGACAGTCCTAGTTTAATACATACTAATATAATACACTTGTAATTAATTTACTATATATATATATATATATATATATATATATATATATATATATATATATAGTGCAGTGCTACAGTTGAGTAAATTGTCATTATCATATAAAAAATATTTAAAAAAGTCAGCTGTTGTTTATGTTGTTGGAACATTTCATGAAAAATAAACCAATAAGATGCTATAAATTTACCTTTGATATCTTTTCATTGCAGTAATGCATTTGGACAAGTTATGATTTTTTTTTCCTTTCATCTACAAAGTTACCATTTTTAAGGATACAGTGATTTATTACATGAAATGTGAAAGCAGAAGAATAGTTTGACCTACATGAAGTAATTTCAGCCTAACAATCGTTCACAGGTTCGCAATAGACCAGCACACAGATCCCGAGAGACTCTTCCACATCGACCCCAAAAACGGATCCATCACAACCTTGAAATCTCTCGACAGAGAGGTGTCAAAGTGGCACAACATCTCCGTGCTCGCCAGCGAAATAAGTAAGTTCCCTCTTGGGAACTGGAAACCCAATCGCAAACAGCAGCATGCGGGGTATCATTTCCCGAGCTTGACCATCTTTACAACTGCCAATTTTCTCTCTTCTCCAGATAACCCTCGCCAGAGGAGCCGTGTTCCTGTCTTGATAAAAGTCTTGGATGTGAATGACAATGCTCCCGAGTTTGCCATGTCTTACGACACGTTCGTGTGCGAGAATGTAAAAGCTGGGCAGGTATTTAACACAAAAGCTAGGCATGCTGACATTTTAGTGGGAGCTATACTATTATTATGAAGAACCAAAAAGGTAATAATTATAGAGGACCTGAAAATCCATTTTGAACATGTAAAAATATCGGGGCCACATAAAAGTGTTCATATGCTCACTCTATCATAATGGAACTTTTCCATTAGTAGAAGTGGAAGCGGATTTTGCCACTGATGAAAAGTGACCAGCAGGCAAAGCCAGACAAATGGATGTGTAGTCCGAGACAGTAATGCCTAGTGCCCTCTATACTGAATTTATCAAAAGGGAATAAAGCGCGATGACACTAGAGCAGGTAATGCACTTTCAGCGGCAGGGCACAAAGTCAATGTCATGCTAATATCAGTTGGTTAAAACCTTGAAGCTATTGTGTGGACGGACATGAGGACAATCTTAATTTTAGCATCACAATGTCAGGATTGAGGACAGAAGTATCATTAAGTTTAGTTGTTACATTTTCTTAGGTTATGGCTAATTCAGAATAGGTCAGTTTATACCTCACAATCTGGTTTGAAAATTGCTCTATATATTTTGTTGTTCTCAACAATAGCACTTGTTTTTTAACCATATCTGTTTTGTTCCACTGACCACGAATTGCTACTTTACAATAATGGTCAGCTGCCACTAATTCTTAAACATGAACAGATGTAAAAAAACTGAAAAATGTATATATTAGAAATATAACATTTCATTTGCAGCCCATTCTGTGGTCAGATTCAGAATACGACCATGACATAGGTCAATGGTGATTGTAACAAAACTAGATTTTTGGTGGTAGAAAAAAAAAATATATATATATATATCAGTTTTTTAACATAATTTGAAAATGCCTGTTGCCCTTTACATCGTGTGCAAATTTCGTGATGAATGAACTAAAAGAAATGACCAAAAATGACTCTCACTATCACGTTATGCTACCAAAATTAGAAGGTGAAGAATAGTGTTTGCTTCCCTCAAGACAAGTGAAGCACCCCTGAATCTTTTCAAACTAACATGTCACTGGACAGCTCATTACACTTGGAGGATGACGCTACCTGCCTGTTCTGTTACATTACTGAGTCTGTTTACACCTTACATTAACATGGGTTTCAAGTCCAGATCACATTGGGATATACTTTAGTCAGATTCTATATACAGTTTCACTACAATGAGTCCAGATGACATTCAATTGTACGTTTACCATGTAAAAAGCACACTAGTGTTTCACTTTTGTTTACTTTTCCCCTCATTCTGAAACAAGTCGACGAGCTTGGCTTGGATACTTTTATTGGCCAAGAGTGCAACTATAGACTTGCTTGTTCTAAATCTTTTGTTTCCTTGTTTATATTTTCTCCTGCTAATCCACACTCAGCATATGCATTTACTGTCACGCAACTGTTGACAGATGACAAAACACATTCCATTAACATTTGTATTAAAAGTGGTCAAGATTGTCTCTGACCACCTCCAAATGTGGTTTGAGTGATCCAATTGTAATTTGATCACAATGCGTTCCAGAGTTGTTTACAATTGGGTTCATGCAGTCAAGTGAAATCTGAACATGAATCAATCCCAGAAAATGGATGTTGATGCAAAGTATAAAAAAAGCCCAGTGAGTCATGGGAAGAGGGAGGGCCATCATACCCACAAAGAGATAGCTATGCTAACTATGCTCACTTGAATTCCCAGTTATAGGGCCAAAGCTTAGGCAATGCCTAACTATCTTGTTTACTACATTGTAAACTTAAATTACTTGACTTTACTTTAAAACATCATGCAAACATGACTCATAAAAATTTATGCAGACGTATTTTTTGAAGTGTAGACATCCTGAAGCCTTTGTGATATGATGCAATACCATATTTGAACCCTCACGTGACATTAGAACAAACTGATGAAATGATACAATTATAATGCTTGGACCCCGTAATTGCCACTCAAAACTATATTCATATAGTCAGAAATGACAGTTGCTGTTTATATAGGTTGTTAAATTGTACATGAATGCATTATCTGAGTTGCATTTATACATATTCAGATTTGGACTCAATGTGCAATTTATATTCAGTTCTTTGTAGATTCATATACAGCATCTGTGCATATTGTATCTGCAGTGAGTTATTGCCATTTTGGGATTCATATAGATTGTATTTATCATGTAAACAAAAAAAGACCAAAATAAATATATTTTCTTGTTTTTTATTTATAGATAATCCAAACCATCAGCGCCATAGACACGGATGAGCCTCTGATTGGTCACAAATTTGTATTCAGCTTGAGCACCAGCAATCCCAAACTTCACCATCTTTGACAATGAAGGTGAATCAGCATTCCCTCTCATGTCTATCTTGGTATTCATGAAAAATGCATTTGACCATAATACTGGCTTTTCTCTTCTTCTGAAAGTTGTGTTTATACGTTCTCTTGTTTTCCAGTCAGCAGAAGATTGCACTCGACACTCACTGCTTGAATATTCTCTTTCGCTCCTTCCCCCCCAGATAACACAGCTAGAATTCTGACCAGAAGGAGTGGGTTTAACAGGCAAGAAGTGAGTGCCTACTATCTGCCCGTTGTCATCTCGGACAATGACTACCCCATCCAGAGCAGTACGAGCACGCTGACCATCCGTGTGTGCAGCTGTGACAGCACGGGGAGCATGCGCTCCTGCAGTGTGGATGCTCTCCTGCTCTCCGCCGGCCTCAGCACCGGAGCCCTGGTGGCCATCCTTCTCTGCATAGTCATCCTACTCAGTATGTACTGACCACAGAATTCAGAGGTTCAGATTAACATTTCATGGCAGAAATACTGACATATTGCAAATATACTGAAAACTAGTACTCAGTACTGAATCCTTTATGTCTCAGATATTTCACACTAATGCTGCATTTACATTGTGATGGTTGGTGGGAAACCAAAACCTTTCCACTGGCAATGGCAGGATTCTGTTAATAGTTAAATTTTTTCCAGCCGCAGACATAGAATAAACCAGATTTTCTGGAATTAAGTCATGCACCCCATGCTAAAAAAAACCCATAGAAAACAATGTGTTTCTGTTGGTTCCTGAGGGTTTGTAATGTGTTTTGGCTCTTTTAATGGGTTACTATCAATCACAATGTAAAGGATTCTAATGGTTTAACAGGTGGAAACCTGTGATCACTATTGGGAACCATTAAGCCAATTCCCGTTAGAAAGTAAAATCATTAGGTTTTAATTCAAATTGTTTCTAATGGCTTTTTATCAGACGGGACCAAATTAGGGATGGATCATAAAACCAGAATCGTATTGGGAGTAGCAGATAATTACTTTAAAAAATGGATTAGCATTGGACAGATGTGTTGATTTGACCAGTGTGTTTCAAACTAATCATTCATGATGTGCAGTACTGTGTAAAAGTCTAAAATCAAGATCAAAAATATTAAACTTCCAGAACGGCCAATTAAGTACAAGCTATTCTTTTTTTTTATTATTATTATTATTTTTTTAAATATATATAGAGCTTGTAGGGGATTTGTTTAAGTTGGAATAATCATGTTTTTATACAAGCATCATATACATCTCTGCTACAAATGAACACTTAAACGTTGTTTCTAGCACCTACCGTTTATGTACAATTCCATGGAAAATGACAGGAAGTGCAATGTTAAATTTACTCCATGGGTGGGTTAACTGTAACAGACAGAGGGTCAGTTTAATACCTGCTAGAAAGGTCTGATCAACTAGTTAATTAATTATTTTTCAGTCATCCACACTTCTTCCCTCTTCCCTCCTTTGTAAGCATCTATAAACACATTTATAACATGTTATAATGTATTCATAAGACATTATAAACATGGTCATAAATATTTATAAAAAAGAATTACACTGAATTACACTTTATAGCCATGTTTATGATACATTATGAATTGTTAATATAATCCATTATGAATAGTGTTAATAACATGTTATACTGTCAGTGCCAAAGAAGTCAGTCCCAGCTTGGAGAGTGCAAAGTAAAAACAAATACCAAGCTAACGGTGGTGTACATTACCTTTCCCACATTGGGTAAAACACTGATGCAGCTCTAGTTTAAACTCTGACATTTGAAGCCTGTAATGTGCTTTACTGTGTATGTTTTAGTGTTTCAGTAAATCCTTCAGTAAATATTTCAACTTGAAGCCTCACTCTTAACACTGGAGGAGGCTTTAGTACAGTACGCTTTACTTTACTTAGAGCGGACAAATATAACTTATGAGCTCTTATAATTTGTTATGATCAGTACTTATAATGTATTATGTAATAAGCATATAATGCATAATGCACTTTTATAAATATTTATAGCCATGTTTATAATGTCTTATGCATTCATTATAACATGTTATGAATGTGGTTATAGATGCTTACAAAGGTGACATTTATAGAAAGTGTTACCAAAATACTATATTTGACTTTGTTTACTAAATGTGGTTTAGTTGCAACACTGTGTAAACTAACTCTGCAGTGCAGAGGCTGTACCTAAGCCCAGCTAACACTTGCTGTGAGCTTGTCAGCAGCTTCAAAACGGTGCTGCCTTGTAGGAAACAAGACGGTGATCAAAGTAATATAAGTATGGATTTTGTGATTCACACAAACAGCTCAGTAACTGAAAAAACTTTTGAAAAAAAAAATGTCTTACATGCCCTGAAAAGTGTTCTTTGGCACAGAGCGCTCTGAATTTTGGTGGGAGGCAGTGGCTAGGAAATGTAGTAATGTGGCCAGAAACTCACACTGCTTGACCTTCTATAATAACATAAAAAGTCTGAGTTTAGTTGTGCCCTATTTTAGGTTGTTCCCCATGCTCCCCTTTTGAAAGCAAAAACATCAGGTTTTAACCATTAGTTTTTAATCCTTATGGTTTCTTATGGTACAATTAAGTACAAGATATTATTTTTTTTAATGTATTTCTGTGCAGATTAGATACAAAATAATCCACTTGCATAAGGCAAAGGTAAATGAGTAAAAAAAAAACTGAGTTTCTCAAGATTTAAATAAATAAATAAATAAATCAATCAATAAAATAAAATAAAATAAAAGGTATAGAGAAAATGAGAATCATAACAACCATGCAAGTATGCCACTAAAACTGTCCCTCTCAGATACACAGCAAATAGGAGAAAATCAAGCTCCACTCTTGCTTCAGATCTAAAAAAATCCACAGGTGTTTGTGTCCAACCAACCAATGTGAGAAGACAACTCAACACGTTAAGTCTGAGAGGATGTGTAGCTGTCGAGGAAATGAGACAATTGCAAATGCAAATAATACCAAGAAGCTGCTGGTGTTCTCAGAACAATGAACTGACCAGCCCATAGTTCACATCTCAACATCACTGAATGTATTTGGAATTTTTAGGATTGTGGGAAGAAGGGAGTGCAACCAACTTTTAAGACTGAACTTGTGTTAGCCATCCTGTAGTCCTTCATCAATGGTCGGTTTCTTACCACAGTGGCTCTTATGGCTGGATATTTTTGAGTTGTGGACCACTGTTAACCTGTCAGTGATGCTTGTTTGTCATGTCCACCACTAGTCCACCACTCAAACAATACTCAGCCAAGAGTAATCCCCTGGTCATAAACTAGCTAAAGCTGCTGGTGCTCTCAGAACAATGAACTGACCAGCCCATAGTTCACATCTCAACGTCACTGAATGTATTTGGAATTTTTAGGATTGTGGGAAGAAGGGAGTGCAACCAACTTTTAAGACTGAACTGTGGAGGTGTGGAAAAACATCTCTGCAAATTTCTTTGAAAAACTCTCAAAAGGAATAAAAGCTGTAATACAGGCACACTGCAAATATGAATACTGAATAAATTATTTAGTCATGGAAGCTTCTGAATAATTTTCTCTCAAATATTTTCTGCTCTTAATGCTGAAAAAAAATGTACTAAATGGCTATTCTAACTAGAAATGAAAATGAATTGAATGCAGGTCTTTGACTTTTGCACAGTACTGTTTTTATTGTACTCCAGAAGAGCCTCTTATAGCAAAGACACAAATATTTCACAAGTGAAAAAAATAAATAAATAAATTAAAAAAAAAAAAACTTGTTTACTTGTAATGTGTGACATGAAATGGCATTTGTGATGATATGTTTCTTCACGTGATAACAGATTTAACACATGAAGACGTGAAGTGTGCAAAAACTACATTGTTTATTCATGTGCTTTCTTTCCAAAAGGGGCAGATCGTTTAGAAGCCTGCTGATGCACTACAGTGCTAAAATATCTGGTTTATATTTTATTTTACTGCATGTAGTAACAGAAATAAATTTTGGTAACACTTTACTATAGGGTGCTGTTCATAAGGCAACATGACACCTACATAAGCTTGTCATGACAACTGACATAACCCTACATAATTGTTTATAAATGCTTGTTCCAATAAGCGTCATTGGCTATAAAGGTTACATTTGCCAATTTTGATCAAAGTAGCCTTTATGACAGATGACAGATTTAGTCCCAATTTCTATATGTTTTTTAAGACTTATGTATCAGCATCCACATATGTGCATATCCAAAATATCAGACATCAGCTACAAAACCCAAAACTTCAATGAAAACACCATTAGAAACATTAGCATGTGTTTAATATAGGATAAAATAGTGGCTCATACTATGGTACATGTGGAGGAACACAACTGCTGTTTCAGCCATGCTATCACCATGGAAACACATACATGGCTGCATGAGGCTGTTGGTCATCTCTTTTCTCTATTCGCAACCATCAGTTACCAACAGTATAGAGCTGGCCAAATTATTAGAAACCATTTCTTTACAGAGATTGTAGCCCATCTTGCATAAACTTGTGTTAGCCATCCTGTAGTCCTTCATCAATGGTCAGTTTCTTACCACAGTGGCTCTTATGGCTGGATATTTTTGAGTTGTGGACCACTGTTAACCTGTCAGTGATGCTTGTTTGTCATGTCCACCACTAGTCCACCACTCAAACCATACTCAGCCAAGAGTAATCCCCTGGTCAGAAACTAGCTAAAGATGAAGGGGGTAAAAGGTGCATGATAACCACAGTCTATAACTGTAGTGGACCTACAATATAGGCAGAACTCATAAAGTGGACAATGAGTGGAAGTAGGTGTTTCTACAGTGTTCTTAGAAATAATACGTTCTCTTTATACTTCTATTTCAGTGATCGTGGTGCTGTTCTCAGCTCTGCGGCGGCAGCGACGGAAGGAACCTCTGATCATCTCCAAAGAAGATGTGAGGGACAATGTGGTCAGCTATAATGACGAAGGTGGTGGCGAGGAGGATACTCAGGCATTTGACATTGGCACGCTGCGCCACCCGGAGGTCATGGAGAGCAACAAGTTGAGGCGCGACATCATCCCCGAGATGCTGTTTCCATACCACCGGCCTTCGCCCATGAACGAATGTTCGGACGTGAGGGACTTCATCAGCAGCCGGCTGCAGGAGAACGACACTGACCCATCAGCGCCCCCTTACGATTCTCTGGCTACTTATGCTTATGAGGGAAATGGTTCAATCGCTGAGTCATTAAGCTCCCTGGAGTCCTCGGTAACGGAGGGAGACCACGAATACGATTACCTCAGCAGCTGGGGGCCTCAGTTCAAAAAGCTGGCTGATATGTACATAGGAAAGGATACCTGTACATCAGGACTGACTAACTAGCCCTGGTGATCTGTGTTCGCAAACACTACGTAAATATTACGTGAGGTCCTGGGCTGTGAGCCGACCTCTGTATACCAGACGGATCTACTTCAGATGAAGTCTCTCCTCACTTGTTTTCTACTGACCCTCGCTGACTTTCACTTTTGTTATCTGACAGATTCTTTGTTGACAATGTCGTGGCAATTTCGTGCTGATGAGAGGAGTGATGGTGGTCTTTGTCAATGCTTTTTGTTCACTAGCCGAATTAAAAAAAAATAAAAAATTAAAAAAATCATCACTTGAAGCAAATGAATGGTTGACCTTGGCTAAAGAACAATCACACAAATACAACAACGAGACCAATCCAGCTTCATTTGCTTGTGTGAATGGTTTCCTTCACTAAAACTGTGGATAACATTGAAATCAACTTATAGGCGTATCATAGAAATGCTGCAAAACACTGGCTTGTTTCTGAATGTTGTCAAAGTGTTTTATATCCATATTTTTTATGAATCTATTTTAATAAAAAATATGAATGCATTGTTGTCCTCCATGTATTCTGTAAACATTCTCACACTGTCATTCCAAAATGTCCAGAACCAATACTAGAGGTACACCTGGAGGAATCAGTAGGTGCGGATTTGTGAAGCCTTGCTCCGTTTAATAAAAACAGAGCGGAGACAGTCAACAGAAAACCTGGACAAATAGAATTCTGGATTTAAAGCTGCAGATGTGGAGATCCCCAAACAACAAAGAGGTAGCCTTAGTAATAAGTTTTTTTAAACAGAGAAGGAAAGGGTCAGGTGCAATGTCCTCTCTGAATTCACAGTTTGAGCTTTCAATCAAAAAAACAAAAGTGACATAAATAACCATACAGAGGAAAGCTGAATAGTTTGCTTAAGGTTTCTTTCTTTATTTATTTGTTTTTTAATAAACGCCTCTGTTAAAACCTGAGATAGACTTACAAATAAGTGAGCTGTATGAGAAATATGCAATGTGGGTGAAAAATATGTTTTCGGTAGTGCTTGGACCTGCCTCAGTCCTGGCCATTGGTCTTGCCAAATCTATTTTATGCTCTTGACCAAATACAAATAACATTTGGTTAAAAAGTAGAACCCTGTTTCTAAAAAAGTTGGGACCTGTGCAAAACGTAAATAAAAAAAGACAACATATTAAATGTTGAAACTGAGAAATTTTGTTGTTTATTTTATTTGATGTCAGCAAGACATTCAAAAAAGTTGGGACGGGGGCATGTTTACCGCTGTGTTTCATCACCTCTTCTTTTAACAAACTCTGTACGCGTTTGGGAACTGAGGAGACCAACTGCTGGAGTTTTGACAGTGAAATGTGTTTCCATTCTTGCTTGATATAGGATTTCAGCTGCTCAACAATTCAGGGTCTCCTTTGTTTTATTTTTTGTTTCATAATCTGCCAAATGTTTTCAGTGGTGACAGGTCTGGACTACAGGCAGGCAAGTTTAGCACCTGGATTCTTTTCCTATGAAGTCATGCTGTTGTAAAATAATGTGGTTTGACATCGTCTTGCTGAAATAAGTAAAGACTTCTCTGAAGAAGACGTCATCTGGATGGCAGCATATGATGCCAAAACCTGTATTCAGCATTCAGTATTAATGGTGCCTTCACAGATGTGCAAGTTTTTTTTTAGATGTCATCACTGTCCAAAAACAAAAACAACAATCTCCAAAGTAGTAACTCTAACCTAAAAATATCTCAACCAGTTTTTATGTAGTCCATGTAATTAATAAATAATAAGCTTCGGTAAGTAATAAGTATGGGATTTTTAGGAGTTAAAAAGATTTTATTCCAAACAATTTTGGAACATTTCTGTCAATGTAAATGTTGACTACTATTCTCAAATGATGTAAAAAACTATGTATATATATATATATATATATATATATATATATATATATATATATATATATATATATATTTTCCTATGGTTTTTATTAGGTCTGTTCCATGTAAAGCATGATTTTTTTTAATGAATTTGACAGCCTTTCATAACTTTGATGCTTTGCTAACTGACTCAAAGTCACACACATTTATGATGTCAGGTGAGTGGCATTATTGATTAGACGCGTTTGTTTGGTTAATTTGGATAAGTAATAAGGGACTTTCTGTTTCACTTACATAACAGCTAGTGTTCTTGGAATTGTATACAGACATCTATTCATGTGGCATCTATACTGCCCCCCAGTGTTCAGTTGCCTTCTTCTCATTAGACAGTGGAATTAAAGTCAATGGCTGTGTTATTAGTGTCGTTAAAGATATCTAAGTCTGAGGCAAGTTACTGAGAAAGTGTCTGGCTGACAGCAATGCATTTTAGACAGTTATTTACTCTTCCCGATGAAGGCCATGCACTATTGCATCAGTACTGCAGAATGGTGAAGTGATGCAGTATAAAAATTAGAGCTGTAAGTGTGACTTTTATTTCAGACTGATCAAAGTGTCGCTCAGTGTGAAGGGGAAATGTGATTAGCGTGCGTGCTCCTGTCAAAATACTGTTACACTTCAATGCATATTTATATATTTAAAAAACAAACAGCTTACTTTTGATCATTCGACAATGTCTGACATAAACGAAGCATTTGACCCCACCTTTCCAGCAGACAGCAAACAATTTCCGCATCACTCTGAAGTACTTTGTCCTTCCTGAGGGTTTTCTAACCAGAAATCATTTGTTCGCTAATGTTTTGTATCATAATTTTCTTCCTTTGTTATTATTTTTTTTTTTTCCATTTTTTACTTTCTGACAATTTCCTATTGTTTCTGTGTAAAAAGAGTAGTGATGCTCCTCCATGATCATTTTTACCTTTTGTTATTCAGGTACTGAATTGAATAACTCATGGAAAAGTGACTAGCATAGCCTTAGTCGCTTTGACCGCTGAGCTCGCAAATCTTTTTCTTCTGCAGTGAGTTTGCCTGGCTGTTACATGATCTAAAGCATAGCACAACCCACGTGTGGACCTGCATCCACTTATGATATAATGATTCATATAAGTGTAGGAAGCAACTTCATTCTTCTTCTCAGGTGAATCTATATTATGAAACTTAAAAACAGCGACTAATAACTTTTTGTTGTTGTTGTTGTTGTAAATATCACTTACTGCTCCTTTACAGGCTTTAGTTCAACTTTTATCTTGATACAAGTTCATCTTGATATATTTTAATGTTATTAACATATAACTTCACAAACTAGGGGTACTAAAATAAAATAAACAATAATTAATTGAAGTTATTAAGACAGAACCATGTAGGCTGTTATTGTTTTTTTAATATTTTTATGATATTTAGTGATAAGGGCATTTGTTGGATTCATGCAAAGCAGGGATTGCTTGGATTCATTCAAACCAGAAGTTGGTTGGATTCAATCAGTGCGGAGATTTGTTGGATTCATTCAGAGTGCGGATTGATTGGATTCATTCACTGCCAAGACAGGTTGCATTCATTTAGAGTGGAGATTGGTTGGATTCATGCAGAGCAGGGAATGGTTGGATTTTTTCAGGGTAGTGATTGTTGGATTCGTTCAGAGCGGCGATTGGTTGGATTCATTCATAGCGGGGATTGGTTGGATTCATTCAGAGCAGGGATTCATTGGATTCACTCAGAGCAAGAACTGACTGGATTCATTGCGGGGATTGGTGGGGTTCATTCAGAGCTAGGATTGATTGGATTAATTCAGAATGAGGACTGGTTGGATTCATTCAGATCAAGGATTGGTTGGATTCTTTCAGAGCAGGGATCGGTTGGATTACTTCAAAATGAGGATCAGTTGGATTAATTCAGAGCAGGGATCGATTGGATTCACTTAGAATGAGGATTGGTTGGATTCTTGCAGAGTAGGGATTTGTTGCATTCATCTTGAACAGGTGCTGGATACCAAAAAACTTTTAATCGTTTGTACATACAGTGTTGTTTTGTGGAAAGTAATTTGTGCTGGGTGGAGATGAAGGCTAATTAAGCCTTTGTCTTAAAGAGGACTTTAGGCTTTTGGTCTTCATGTGGTCTTGCTCTCATTTTTACTCAGGCATGACTTGGTCTCACACTCATTTAGACTCAGTCTTGACTTGGTCTTGCCCCCTTCATAGTCACAGTCTTGACTTGTCTTGAACTCAACAAAAGTGGTCTTTAAAACAGCTGTAGCAAATAACTGCCTTTGAGAATCCCTAATTCCCAAATTTAGGGCCAGTTTCCCAAACCCATATTAATTAACCACTGGTATTATCCCAACCACAAATCTTAGCTAATGGATCCAAAGTAGAAGATTAGTCAGCTGAAAGCCATCATCACTGTCCATGTCCCAGAATCTATTTATAATGCATCATTACCCAGGGCATTAGGAAGGGTAACAGTTTACAAGTAGAGCATGAAGGCATGAGACAGTATAAAGTGATAAAATGCTTGCTATTTTACTAAAAGGTTTTTCATAAGGTAAATTAGTGTTCTGTTCTTCATGATCTGTTCATTTTTTCATTTTAGGCCTTAGAGTTGTAATCATCATTTTGCTATACTATTTTTAATATAATCACACATTTACATAATTTATTGCATAGTTGCATAGTTACATTTATATTTAGTTTATATTCTGTATTTTCATGTATTGCCATTTGGGTCAATTTCAACTTATGACACTTCATAAAAATCAAAATAATGCAAGCAACAATAACTTTTCATCTCTCGAATAATTAGAAAATAGTTCTTATTCTATTCATGAACACAAAATTGGTATCACTTGAAAGTTTAGAATCCATAGTTTTGACTTTGACTTTCATCTTTGGCTCCAAATGAAATTAAAATAAAACTCACGTTCAATTTATTATCACAGGCGATACCTATTGGGTCACGCTTAACACTGTAAACTCACCATGAAGGCTCCAGTTGGAGACAGAATAAATGAATGGGTACAAGATGAAACTCTAGCTGCTTCAGGGGAAAATGAGGGGTTGAAACAGAATGTAAAATATCAGTTCTTTTGTTTATTGTGGTGTGAGCGTAAAAGAAGATGTGAGAAAAATTGTGCTTACAACCCCCTTTTTTGTACAGGCAGCAGGGGAAAGGCTGCCGAACAATACTGAAAAAAAAGCTGAAATAGCAGGAAGGTCACTTTTAGCCATATAACTACTCTCTGTGGTAGAGACACAAACCTATATAACAACAATAGCACACCAAATGTCTGTTTAACAAAGGTGGGGAGCGACACACTGGGTGCAGCTTTGCAAATAACTCCCCTAAAGCCCCTTCTGAAACATGGAGTGGGTGGTGAACCTCAACAATGTGTTTAATGCATCACTTCTCACATGGAGCAACAGCG